TTATGGATGGGAGCAAGCCCAACTGCACATTTTACTGGCAGAAAAGCAGCAAAAGCACTGCTTGGAGTGAGAGTAACATGCTTTGGCACCAGGAACCACACAGGGTGCCCTGGAGGGTGCAACGACTGCTGGGAAAGCATAAACCTTACCCCAGGGCTGAAATCTTGCATGTCCCTTAACCCTCCTGCACTCGTGGGGTCTGCCTACAAAGCTGAATTGATTACAGCTCACACAGTTTACCAGAACTATGAGAACAAATGAGAGACTGTAACTTCTTGAATTTTATGGTATGACATGTAGATTTACCAGGTTGGAAGAGGGCCAAAGGAGGTAGTATCCCCTCCCCTGAGCCCTGCAGGCACCACAGGAATTCTCTGTTGTAGACAAGGGATTGCTAGACCCCATCACCACTGCAAAATTCAAAGAGCTTAACGCACTAATGTTGTGAGACCAATTTAATATCCACTGCAGGAGTCTGATGTCATGTGAAATGGCAGGTCTGATGGTATCAAACACTACAATGAGTCTATCAAGTAGCAGACAATACCTTGACCCTAGTGAATAGCTAAGTTAACCTGTATCTAGTGATAAAGTAATAAAATGATTTTATCAGGAGTAGCTTGCACAGCTAGATTATATGTCTTTGTTAGAGTATGAATTTCCTCCTTTAGAAAACAACGTTTCCTGAAAATCAGATAGATCAAAACTGCTGCAAGTACCATGCCGAAAACAGCTAAACTGGAAAAGAAATAGGTGAATTTTCAACTGGCTGATGACAGTTTTTGAGAGGTGGGCTGGAGGATCCATTCCTAGGGTAGGTTCTCAGAACTGGTCTTGATGTTCCACTAATGAAGTAATTACAGGATTGGTCTCAGTATGAAAGATAGGAGAGCACAGATGAAGTGTCAGTGACATAAATTGCTTGATAACTTCATTACAGAGAACAATGGGAATATCTTGCAGATAGCACTGGACAATATTAATAGAACAACAGAGGTGGAATAATAAGAGAAAAAAGATGAAGCACTTCTGTTCCCCAAGAAGATGTGGTAACTGATGCTCCTTTATTCAACCTGATGTTGTAGAGGCACAGAAGAGCTGTTCAGCACTACACAAAGCTCCACTTAAGGCTTGCACACTGATATGCACATGGGTGTCCTCTAAAGCTTTGCTGTTTGTTGCATTACTCCTACAAGACCTCTTCAGCTCAGTTTAGCCACTCCTTTCTCTTAGCAAATGAAATACTGCTCTTTTCCCTGGGTAGCAGCTCTAAGTTCTCATGACTAGGCAAAATGTGAAGGTCTAATGGCCAAATAGTATTTGCCAGTATTGCTCCCTTTCTGCATTAAATACTTAATGGAGAGATTTGACTTCCAGATGAACTGGCTTTGTGCCCTGAAAGCACTTTACTTCTAGCACCTTGAGAACACTGTAGCAGACATTTAGAAAAATGGCAGAGATCCGCCATCTCCAGTGCCTCCAGTCGCTCTCATGTTTACCCTGTTGCCAAGGGTATTTGCAGTAATGCGGCATTTCCTGCACATTTTCACCACCGGCTTTGACAAGTATGGCCTTTGATGAAAGCCCAACTGTCTCCAATAGCAAAGACTGGAGGCCCATAGTATGGGTGGCTGACTGGCTGCTGTCCCAAAGTCTAATAGCTATTTCAGGTGCTGCTTTCCTTATTTCTTATCATAGAGGTAACTGCTTATTTTACTCTTGATTAAATTGACTAAAATTGAGTTGATATAAGTTCTGTTGCATTTTTCAAAAACATAAAAGATGTTCTAAACTTCAACTACAAAGTCATCCCCTGGAAAAGTTTGGGTCACTACTACTTTTTCTGTTGCTGAGACACACACTGATGGCTCTGTGCAACCAGAAAAGTCCTTAATGCAGAGGGCATTGCAGGCAGAATCTGTCCACTCTGTAAGTTAGTAATAATGCCTGTGTTCTCTTAATGCCTTCCGTCAAAGGGATACATGGACAGCTTCACTGAGTAATGGTGCAGTTTTTAAACAGCACGTTGGGCTCTGACAACAGAACAGTCTAAAAAGTAGGATTAACTTTATAATGTTCAAGTGAAATTACAATTTTAATTTCAAGCAGGTAGAACTCAGAGGAGATGGTATTTATCCAGGTTGTTCAAGCTAACACCCCTACCAGATGGGCTACTTAAGATGGTCTCAGTTTAATTTAGAACCTCTGACAACAGCTGTATACATATCCTGGTCTACATTAAATATAAACTCAGATTTTGATCCCCTGAAAAGCTTTTCTCATGGACCATCCCAATGGTCCCCAGCATCACTGATTTGTGTCATGGAAATCAGTACAAACAGGCCATGATCCTAATTGTCTAAATGGTACATTGTCTTTACTAAAAGAATTGGTGGATTGTTATTTTGTTTTTAAAATTTCAAACTCTTTTAAGAAATCCTAAAAGCAGAATGTGGCAGTGCAAGCATTGTTGAGTTCCCTTCTCAAGGAGAAGTCTACTCTGGAATGTGCTTCACTTCTTAAATGATAAACTTCAGAAAGCCATTTTACCTTGCCCTTCCAAGGCCAAACATGTCCTGATACACTGTTGCTTGAGCAGCTGGGACAGTAATTTCATATTATATTCATCTATCTGCTCCTGACTTAGCCAGTACACAAAGCATTTGCAATTGGAAGGAGGTCAGTTTTCAGATATCATGATATCCTCACCACAGAGGAGGAAAGCTCAAAATCAGATGCACATACTGGAAATGGCGTGTGTGTGTGTGTAACTATAGTGAAATTCAGGCTGTATTGCAAAAACCTTTATAGCCACAGCAGATAAAAACTGGATATACATCCAAATGTAGACTGTTTTTCTGCTGAAAACCCAGGGGAACTCTAATGATGACAATCTTAAGTGGGAATACACCATATTTCTATCGGAAGAACTAAGTATTCAAATACATGCTGATAGGGATTCGGTGATTAAGAGAACTGGTGTTCACCAAGAAGTCTATCTGCTCTTCCCAGAATGTCAGAGCTGACAAAAAAGCATGGTGAGAATTTAGACAGATTCCCTTTGTATATACCACAGCTCACAAAAACTAAATATGCTTCAAAGATTGAGCATTCATGTGGTGTTGGGTTGTCACAGGGTGGCTCTGCAGACTGACACAAGATCGGGGACCTTTTCCTGTCTGCACAGTGGTAACAGTTAATGGGTCACACTTTTCTTGTACTTCACACTCACATATTACTACAGCTATGTAGGAAATATTTTGTGAAAAGTTGGAGGAGGGTAATCTTTTTCCTCTTAAAATGACTATCAAAGCAGAAAGTTTCTGGAGAAACTGATTTTAAAAGAAAGATTTTTCATGAAAGATTTGGGGAATTTTACAAAAAAATATTTTAAAGATGTCTTTTTTGATCTTAAACAAAGGAGAAGACATACTGACTGCTGACAGCTTAGCAGGAGACCCAGATTCACTCTTGCTCTGTCTGGCCAACCAAACACTTTATTATCTTTACAAAGTGGAGCAGCTCCAAAAATGAGAGAATGAAAGAGCCCTACTCACTACTTCTTATTCCCCAGGCACTTGCTTAAGAAGGAGGATGCCTCATACAAAATATCCAATTTGTGCTACCCATTCCCAGGCAGATTTCTCTTGTGTGTCAGTGTGTTCTGTATTTTGGTTTCTTGCTTTTGTTAAAAATACTGTCAAGATTCCTTCATTCTAGATGGGAATTTCACTTCTTCCTTCTGCTCTTCCCAACTTTTCTGTGAAACAGAAATTTTGACTTCTGGTCAGCTTTGTTAATTTTGAAAAATGTTCTGATACAAGTTAATCATGTCACCATTGCACTTGTGTACCATCACTTCTGCAACTGCTGTAGAACATAAAGCGCTGCATAGAATTGCATGTGACAGTTTTTTGCAGCAGGCAGCAAAGGCTCGTGGCAGGATGTCAGGGCAGGAACAAGTGGAGAGGAAATGCCCAGATCTGATCCTGGAAAAGAATATAATGCTGCTAAGGAAAACAAACAGAGGAGAAATACTGCTGCTGGGGAGGAAGGAAGGATGGAAAAATAGAAAGAAAGGAGAAAGAGGGGTTTCATTTCCCAAGAAGGAAAAGGGTTCCAAAACAAATAATGAATAAGGATTCCTGACTGAGTCAGGTATATAACAGAGTTATAAGAGTTTTATCTGGGATTTTCATTTAAAATGTTATAAAACCTAGATACAGACACAGTTTAGATCCTTATTTTACCTAGCTTCAAAATAGTCCAAAATTTGAAATTGATTCTTGTATTTAAAGTCAAACTTTTATTTGATTTTTTAAAGTTATTTGACCATAGTCTATTTATCCTAAGTCAAACCTTACTGGTATGTTCCATTTAACCCTTTCAATAAAAACAGGCACAAATGTGCAGTGGGAACTACTTATACAGTAAACCTGTCTACAGTGATACATGATGCAAAGTGTAGCAGAATGAAATTCCAGATGTCTCATACTATACATCTATGACTGTAATCATGTTTCAAATGCCAATTTGTAGACTACATCTGTTGCTGCCTTCTTACATTAAAAAAAAAAAAAAAAAGTTTCCAACATGCTGAAGGAAACACCTACACAAAACTGACTCCACTTTGTTACTTCTACCTTCTTTTACTTCTGGGAAATGTCCCTTTTGTTTCTCAGAGGAATGATGTAAGAAGGTGAGAACTCACAGTTGTCTTATGCAACATGCCTGTACATGCTGTTTTTTAAAAAAATACTTATGTTATAAATTAAAACTTCTGTGAACAATATCCCAGCCATTCATGAGTTGCATTCATGTCTGATTCATTATGACTATTTAACTAAGTTGGAATAGTATCACTTTGAAAATAAACTTGCAACTCGAAAGAGGAAAAAAAAAAAAAGAGTAGAGCTATTGAGAAAGCTCTTGAGTTTTCAACCAGTGTCCTTGTTCTTGCAAACGGCTAGTCCATCTTCTTTATTATTTGACTTTCTTACTGTAAATCTTACAACAAATGAAGGCTTGTGAGAAGATAACTGCTTTTGCTTGTTTACCTGCCCATGAGGGATAGTCCCAGATCCTCATGACTTGGAAATTTTGTCATTAACTAGAAGAAAGAAAGATCCTTGCCCAAGCAAAGGAGAAGAAATAAACACAATGGTCTTGATCCTAATAGACTGACACATCAGAAATGTCTGATGAAAATATTTCTTGAATGTTTTTGTACAAAGTAAAAATCTGGGAACAAGGAAGAAAGTGGTCTAGTCTCCTTGTAGGATTGTCCCCTAGTAATGGGTAGGACAGGCCTACATGGATTATGCAGAGGAATATATATTGTATTTCTCTGACAAGAAGCTAATATATCTCTATCTGTGTTTGCCTATATAGGTGCATATATGCATGTGTCTATATGTATGTTTATGTGTGTATATAGAGAAAGAATTTCCACAAGACAAGTATGTCCTGCTCACCTTTAGTGCCACAAACCATTTGCCTGCTGTTTTACTGTTTACTCTGGGAGAAAGTGGTTTGCATGCTTCCAGTGCCCAGCACTGGAAGGACCAAGCACAGCAAACCTTTCTGGGTGATGCCAAGGAGAGCAGCCATCTGTGAGCTGGTCTTGAGCAGGTGAAGCGGGATCCTGCATGAGCAGCGTGTAGGAGGGCTCTCCAGAGTACAAACACAGTGTCTGAAGGGTTTGATTTAGATGACTCAGTCTAAAGAAATAAGAAATGCATCCTTGAGCTCAGATATCACAGACTGAGAGATGAGACCATTATAATAAATAACCTGATGACAGTAGACTGGTTGTAAGATTAATTGGCTGAAGTTCAGCATTAAGCTTAAGCTGTACAGTTGCAAAGGCTAAAATTTAACTTGGAGTGTATTTTATGTCCCACAGCAAAGTTTACCTGTTATGATAGCTGGGGAATATCCACTGCATAGGTTGCTTTCTTGTCTCCTGATTTCACAGCTAGGAAAACGAGCCTTTCACAGACCTTTCCCTCTGGAAAAACAAGGCAGAAAAAGGATGTGGCTATGCTATCATGTTTAGTAAGCAAGTTACCAGTGAACAAATGACTCATCTCTGCTAACAGATCTGTAAGACCTCATCTACTATAAACTGTCATTACTCTGCTGATGTGGATGGCACTGTGAGCATTCAATCCAGCTGAGGGTCTAGCCTGTGTGGCTAACTGTGTCACTCTGTCCCTCATCTGGTTCGTTGCTTGGTGTGTGGTTTGCCCCTGTCCAGCAGGTAGGACCCAGAGCACAGCTCTGCAGATATTGCCATACTGTTTGTGTTATCCTGATGACCAGAGGCTTTGGTGATAATGTACAAAAGTTGTGCAAGCACGGGGATAGGCTTTGCCTCAAGGGGTTTATAACCTTAAGCAGAAGCCAAATATAATACAGAGAATGTACAATATAACTTGCTATAGGGAAAGACTTCTGGAGAAGGAGATGAGAGGGTGAGTGCAGACCTGAGCTAAAACCTCCTCGCATATACTGCAGTATTGCTGTCTTCCTACTTGTTTAAAGATCAGGTCCCACCTTTGAATTATGAAGGCTTCACAGTCGCTTTTTTGTAAAAATTCTCAGTGTACCTGATAAAACAGTTCCAGTTTACTGGCATGTCCACTATTAGCAGGCAGTTTACCCTTCACATCAAGAGAGTGGCTTGGGTTATTCTTTGCTTCATGTGTGTGGGCAGAGAACTCACATGACCCTCTGGAGGGGAACCTGCTGTGCTTCTGTTGTACCCCACGACACCAGAGCAGCAGCCCTTCAGTCAGTCAGCAGACAGGATCATAGGAGCATGTAGAATCATATAGCCACGGCAAAGGACCAGAGCTCCTCCAGCAACATACTGCAGGAGGAAAACCAGCTATGGCCACTTCTGTCTCTGGGCATACCTGTATGTATCCTGTCAATATCTAACCATAGTTCGCTCTCTTTTTTTTGTGGAGTTTACCTGTAATCTCAGATAACATGAGTGGCAGAAATGGATTTATGCATTTTGACAGCTCCATTCTCTACAAATCAGCCTAGTCTGAAGTCTGCCGTTGCAACACTATCACCACTCTGGCATACTTCAGCGTGCAAAGCTCAGCACTAGTGGATCTGCAAACCTTGATGATCAGATTTGTTTTCAGGGATCACAAAAAACATCCCAAACTTGCTAAATTGAGTTCAGAAGTTAACACGTGGGGGAGGTAAATATAGCACAGCAGCAAAATTAAGTCAAATCCACCCACCCCTTCACGGAACATCAAGAGTCCTGAAACATTTTGTTGAGGTTTGATGTAGCAGCTTGTCTTGGACTTGCTTATCATCAGACTGAAGTTAGCATGCTTTCAGCAGACAACTTTGCTCTTCTTGGTTTTCTGCTCTGTAGCCCATTTGTGTCTGCTCCCCAATATTTAACTCCTTAGTTGGGTGTTGGACCACGACCAGGGTCCCTCAGTCCCAGGGCATTACTTCTAAGTAAATGAGGTGTTACCACTGTGGTAAAGTCTGTGTGAAGACAGCAGCCTATGAAGTCCGAATTTAAAGTGTTGCTGTGGTGCTCTTACCCTCTGCTTTCCCACTGTGGTTGAGCTTACCTACCTCAGGGCTGACACAGTACAGGGATGCCCTCTCCTCCCTCCGTCCCTGGTCAGAGGCACCTGGCTGAGGGGAGAAGTTGGTCCACCCACCTGCCTGCCAACCGCTGGGCTTGTGAGTCAGCACCCAGAGACTGCCCCATAGGGTGTGATTCTTTAGTAGCTACCCATTCACCCAGAGTTACTCTGGTTATGGAGGAATGGCTAAGGAGAGCTTTCCTGTCTAATGCACCGTGTTTCTTTACAGTTCTGTGTGACCCAGCCAGAGGCATAACTTTTCAGCTCAATACGTGAAGTATGCTAAATGCAGGAAGGAAGGAAGATAAACTGTTAGATAAGGTAGGGGAATGTATGGAGTACAGAGAGAGAGCTTTAAAAAACCATGAGTGACAACAGAACAAGGCTGACATGTTACTTCAAAAGAAAAGTGGAGGGTTTAGCTAAATGGCATTTATTTTCAGGGGTTTTTTACTGTATATTGATTAGCATTGCTAATGAGTTCAGGTATACTTTTGCTGTTGACTTGGCTGCTGGGAGGGAATTTGTTTTGAAAGCAAAGCTCTATTCTCTGATGAGTTTTCCTAGACTTGTAATATATATATATTTTTTTTCCTACTGTGACTTTGAAAACAGTGGGATTTAGGTTTCTAAGAGGTTTTTACCCCCCTTTTCCCATGAAAAACAGACTATCAAACACTGACTATTCTTAAGCAGTGAATTTTAGGGGTTTTAGAGCACTAAAATTCTCTTAAATTCCTCCTGTTTTCTGTTGGAGAAAAGACTTCAAATACTATGAAGTATATACTACAAATACTATAGCTATGAGAATTTTAGAAAGCTGTGTTCCAGTGCAATTATGAGATCCTTATTTCAGGAAGCTCTAACTCAGTAGGAAATGCAGTTTTTCTGTTGGATTGTCGGTACAAAATGTTCAGGTAACTTTGAGTAACTCAGTTAATCTTGTTCTAGCTTGCACAGGGCCCAGTGGAAAACCTGACAAAGATTTTCTGGAGGTGTCTCTGCTCTATTACAAAGTCTTTATTAACTGGGGTACATTTATCCCTTCTCTTTGTGTTTTCGCTATTCATACTGAAAACAAGAGAAATATATTTGAAAGTCTATGAATGATTCTGAAGTGTGAAAATGCTTCTCTTCATTTTTCTCTTAACAATTGCACATTCTCAGAGAAGAGCAGTCAAGATAAAAATCATATGACAGATATTACTCAATATCCTGATACTTCAGTCTTAGAGACTCTCTTATAAAAATAATTTATTTTCTCCTGTCTTCTAACTGCTTTAAGAAAATATGTACAGCTGTTCAAGATAAAAGTATTCTCTTATCACAGGAGACAGAATGTGTAAGATTACATAGAGTGTATTAAAATAAGGATTCTAATGACAAACTATTTGAACTCTTTTGGGTTTATAGTTATTTTGCTATTATTATAGAACGGCTGCTTAGGTTACTGAGTAATGGAAAATGAATAGCTACAAGTATAGCATATTCGTCAACCTTTTGTCTTTTTGTTATAGGACCTAGTTACAATCCCAGTTCTAAGTTTTTCTTTGTATCAGTATTTTATAAATCATGCTCCTACTGCATTTATTTTATTTGGATACAGACATTAGAGAGAAATTTATAGTGTTGCTTAAAGGTCATTCAAAACTTTCTTCTTCATCACATAACACACACACACACACACACTGTCCCACAAAGTTTACAATCAAAATAATAATCAGAGAGAAAACAGTATGTACAGAAAATACAGGGAAAGCCTCTGGTTTCTCCCCACTATTTTGTAGACCATTTCTCAGCTGAAAACAAAGCTAGCTGTTTGTACTTTCGAGGGGGTGTGGGTTTTTTTTTTTTGGTGAGATGAAAGAACGTGTGCCCGTGGTGTGATCAGAGACATGAAATGTCTTCCAGACAGAAGAAATCCTTACTCTCCAGCAGCCCATACACTAGAAAGTACCCATGGCAGGTGAAAAGCCTTTGATATGTTGGGTACTTGGAAATAAAGCATATTCTTATAAATACCACAGCTCTGCAAAACCTAACAAGTTACAAAATCACATTAGCAATAATTATTTTTCTCCTCTTTGTTCCTGGAACACTAACAACATAGGATCTTATGTCACCAAACCAGAAATATATTAAGAATTCAAGAAGTGGTTTTCAAGAAGCAACAAATCATACTGAATTTAAATAATGAGCAATTTTTGTATTAGAGAGAAGTGGAAAGACATACCTTGACTGCAAATTCACCACTGAGCAGGTACAAATGGGTGAAGTGCAACACAACTCCGGGAACAGCCAAGCTCCTTCTGTTGTGTGAATGAGTCTAACTTCTGGTTTTCTGCCCCTCCCTGAACAGAACAGACTCATCCCTCTGTTGATGACATCAGATTCCTGGATTTTCTCCCACACTATATTTTAAAAACAATGTTTATCTAATGCATCCAGTATGAGGTCGCTTATACTTG